CCTTCTGACTCGGCATGAATGCCAAAAAATTCTCTCAATTTTAATTTTAATTGCAGTTTTAAGTTCTAACAATGAATCATTTTTTAGGTGTTTCCTGTATCATGCAATCAACTCCAGTTACTAAATGAATAACTTGATTGATGAATGATTTAACAAAAGTATTTGCTTTACTGTCTTCACGAGTTCATGCAATAAATTTTGCATAGACGTTTACACACGCGCGTCCGACATTGTCACTTTCACTGCTGTCTTTCAGATCCTCKCCGTACCAGATTCTCATCTGCTTTCCCTCGGGAAAGTAGAAAGGCTGGGCAAAGTCGGTGAAGATAAGTTCTTTGGAAGACGCCGTGTCCATAAATGGCATTCCATACCATATGCGGGGTGGCAATCTAGAGATTTGAAGCATTAACCCAATTATGACGAGACTTTTTCAGTGGCTTCTGGGATGGCAACAAGATATCGCACAAATAGTTAAGCCCCGTTTACACTAGCGAGTTTTGTAGCGAATTTAATTTGCTGCGATTTTTTCGGCGATCCTGTCCATAATGAATGATGGTAAAGAATTTACTTGTAAAGAGTTTTTTTCAGGATACCAAGATTTTCCTAGACGAATGGCTCTTTTGAAGGATGAGACAAAAAGAGTTCATATTTCCGAAAATTGTCACAAAAATCGCAGCAAAAATCGCCGCAAAAATCGCCAGTGCAAACGGGGCTTTATAGGTTCAAGGTCAAAACAGTGGTCTAAAATAGGGACCCCATTTTATCGTAATAGTCGTGGGTACCAGTGTATACCGTTATCCCCTTGGGAGACATGTTGAAATGCTCGATACTGGCATGGGCGTTGACCATATTGACCATTTTCGTACACAAATACATTGTTTAGCATACATGCAACGGATAGTACATTTATTTCTGCCATTCGACAGTTCAAGTTTTGAGGATATTTCTTTGTATGTGGGAACCATACTTAACTAATTAAAATCTATTAAAGTGGAAGAAGCCTTGTTTAATTCAGACATTTTTTTATCGCATCTCTAATACAATTATTTACATACCCAATATATTGTTCCTTTGGAAAAATGATGCGGTTGAGTTGATCGGTTACCACCACGTTAAGGGAATTGATCCCGTATTTACCATTTAGATTTCCACACCCCCAATGACTGTTGTGGCTCGTACCGGCACAGCTAACGTGTCCGTACACGTGCTCAAGCTTGATCGCCACTACTAAACCAGATCTGACATTGTTATGGAAAGAACCAAAGCTGTTTCCTTTTGCTTCGAAACAAACCACATGTTGGCTCATCTTGACCCAATCACTGACGCAGGAGCCACCTTCCTGTTCAACTATATATAGATGAGAAGGTATATATAATTAGTAAAAATAAACAGGTGATTTTTGAAAATCTCGCGCGCTGATTGGTTGAGAAACCTACACTATCACACGATAATCACCTCCAGCGATAATCCAAAATGGTGGCCAGCCGCTTTGTTGCTGTTACCGGAAAAAAATGTCTTTTATCTTCTTTTTTTTTTTTTTTTTTGAAAGAATCACCTGTGTATTTATACTAAAACAATCAAAACGTGTCGTTTATGTCCATATAAGGAAACTACTTACCATATTTGGAGTTTGAGGTATGTTTGCATCGCAAAAAAGACCATTTTTTTCGAGGTAAAGTTTATCCAAATTACAGAAATTCGAGTGAAAACACATTTCTACGTCGGCCATTTTGTTTTTTTGGCCAAGAAAAGACTGGAGAAGAGACACAGGGTGACCGTTGTTTGATAGGCTGTTTACCACAGGAAGCCCGCGAAAACGACACTTATTGTTCGATATGTATTTGCTTCAGCCTCAGTGAATATCGGAAAATATTTACCTCGCCGCTCGAAGACTCGGGTCTCGGTAACTACTCCCCGATGTTTACCTCGCCTTCTGCGAATAATCGTTAAATAATACACCGAGTTGAAATATGGCGGCGATCATTTTGAATAACTATTGTTCTGGGCTGACTAGCAACAGATTAGCCTCGTGTTGAAGCGGAAACATAGAAGCATTTTCACATATATGAGAAGCTAATGAGTAGCTTGTCAATGCAGAACAATTGTTATTCAAATTGGTCGCCATATTTCGATTTGGTGTACGGAGAAGCAGTGAGCAAACAACAAAGAATGAAAATAATGACCCTTCTCAAAAAGAACTTGATGCGAGGCTAACATGGAAATACAAGAGAAATCACACTTTTTCTCGATGGAATTTGTGGCATCTATTTAAAAAAGATCTAGCAAGTAAACAAAGAAATTAATTATTAAATGAGCGAATTGAATAGATGGGTTTAGATAAATGGAAAAATGAATAAAGATGCATGTATTGCATGAAGAATGGACTGATGGAGAAATGGATGGAGAAAGAGATGGATGCATGGACGGTAATGGATCGATTAGTTAACTGATACAACCAACAAAAAAAGACAACAACAACAACAACAAAATAAAAAGACCAAAACAAAACAAAAAAGACCTTGACTTATAATGGTTTATTTTTGACTAACCTTCCTGTAAAGTTAAAGCGTAGGTCTTTACTGAAGGTGGTCCAAAACCCTCTCTATTCCTGGCCATAACAAAGATCTCATATTTCCTATATGGTTTTACGAACAGCTTCACCTTGGTAACACTCACTACCTCAACTTCTTGGAGAACTCGTTCCCCTTGTACCTTGTAGTATACAGTGTAGTTGAGCTGGGTGCTGTTACAAGCATGTTTAGGTCTTCTCCAAGAGATAGTCAGGGTACGGCTTTGGATGTCATGAGCAGCCAGGTTGGTTGGTTCGCTTGGGATGCGACAACCTGTGCAATATTTTTTTAAAAAAAGGCCGAGTCAGGTATGAGATCTCGCAAAAACATCTCAGTATATGTGTAAGTTTGTATTTTTTTTTTTTTTTTTTTTTTTTTTTTTTGTTTGTTATTTTTGTTTGTTAAAGAATAAAAAAAGCCAAAGAATGCAAAACAATTCGGTGTGAGTCCGGAGCAGACTGTCGGCGGCCATCTTGGATTGCAAGGCATAGGGGCAAATAAAGCTATGTTACAGTAATGACATCAATTGATATTAACAGACGGCACATCGATCACCTTTACCCATAACTATTTCCCGTCATCTTTGTGTCGCTGTGCCCCCTGGCAAGATGGCCGCCTTACCGTCGAAGTAGTCCAACGGCATGTTCCTGCGTGTTATTGCCTGTTCAAGCACATCAACACATACACAACTTCCTTATTTTCTCCTTTTCTGGTTCAGTATTGCAGAATTAAATATGTTTTTTTCTTGACCGTTGTACTTTTGTTTGCCTACTTGGTCAGCTTGGGTTCAAAAAGTAGTTAATGACTGTATTTTTTAAACAACTGGTCAGGTTCTGTGTTTGCTACGTGAAAATATTCATCCTGTATCATTGATAAAGTTACATGTTTACGACCTTTTAAATAATTTGAATCTGTTCCAAAGTTTTTGTGTCTTCAGTTTACATTTCTTAAAAACAAACTTTTTCGATTCAGCAAAAGTATATTCTCCAAACAAAACAAAAAACAATTCAAAGTAATACCACAACGACACAACAATAACAATAACAACAACAAACGAACAAACAAAMAAAATACGCTCAATTCAATCTTATAGTGAATTTGCATGGGATTTCTTAGAGGTTATTGCCCCAATTAAGAAATGTTGGCTGTTTATCAATACTTTCTTCTTCGGGTAATTAGGATAATCAAATAATAGAAAAAATGATAAAATGTTTTGAAATCTACTCTAATTCGTATGGGAGTGTGGGAGCACTACAACTGAATAAGATGATCATTTTTCAAAATACTTTTGAATCAAAATATAAAATCAAAACTGAATGCTCTCAATAATTGTTTTTCTTGGCTTTCATTTGTTGGTTTGCAGTTTGACCAAAACGACCGCAACTGATTTCATAACATTATAAACAAAACCAGTGCGTACACTAAATGCATTCCACTATATCTGCTGTTCTTTTAAAAATACGTACAATGAAGCTATGCATTTTTACATACGCTGATGAATGTCYGAGATATCGCAGCTTTTTAAAAACTTACCGTCCGAGAAGATGGCGAACATCAACGCCAAAACGACGAGCACTTCAAACCTCATGGTTGGTGTCAAGCGCAAGAAAAAATCAGTAGTTTAAAGAAAGCGATCGCGAGAATCCTTTTATAGCTTCTTTGGGTCAGGACACTTTAGATACTTGACCAGAATTTCCGGGACTAGTTTAATCTTGCACTCAATCAAAATAGGGAACACGCACTGCAACGAGGCTTTGGGTACTTAGGTTTCATATTGCCTCTTGAAGAGTATGTGAGACAACACATTCGAGAACCACAACTGACCTGTTCCATCTCATTACACACCGAATCAAAATAGGGAAGTGACACGCAGTGCACGCAGCGCGGCTTTAAGTAGTTATGTTTCATATTTGCTCTTTCAGGGTATGTGAGACAAGACATTCGAAAACCGGAACTGACGTCGACCTGTTTAATCATACACACAAAATCAAAATAGGAAAGTAAGAACCACGGCAGAGCGAAGAAGTACTCCTACTTCCAAGAAGAATACGGGAAATAAGATGAGATGAGGAGTGGTTCACGCCATATATCCGTGAGAGAGAAAACATAGACTGTATATTGCAGCTTTTTTGCTGTCATTTAATACAAAAAATTGTAGATATCACTGGAGTAGAACATTGGGAACAAAAGTAAATACCTCTACGCGTCTTTGTTTGGTTCGGGCCTGAGTGAGTTCTTAGCTATTTTAAAACTTAATAATATAGATGCAAAAATTTCTCACTTCTGATTGGTTGAGAGCAGTGCTGTTTTCCTGAAACACCAGTGCAAAAATGTGAAACACCAATGCAAAAATGTGAAACACTTTTCAGTGATTGGTCTAAAAGACAAAAGAAATTCAAACTAGCCAATCAGATCACAGCAATTGTCATAGCAACAGAACAGCCTTCCCTCTCTGGAAGTTCTCAGAAAATTCAAGATGGCGGATTTTTTTCTTAAAAGCTAAAAAAGTCAAGCTTCATTAGTTGAAAACCAGCAAAAAAGGTTGAGAATGGGTTTTCAAAAAGGGTTTCCAAAAAGCTCAATTAGCACTCGCCCTATCGGGCTCCTGCAATTTTGAACTTTTTGAAAACCCGCTCGTGCAAATTCATTCAAAAGTGCACACGAAACCATGCGATTTCCTATACAAATAATTGATAATTAAATACTTTTAAGAGTAATTGGTTTGAACCCAGGTGTTTCTTGTGAAATGTGATCGTCTGGGTGTGTGTAGTCTTGAGAAAGACTGTTATTGGTGGTGACTGACGTTTCGACAACCTGAGCGTAAGTCATCTTCAGATTCCAGTGAGAAAACGAGAGACAGTTGATGGTATTTATAAATACTCTTAAGAGTTACATGGCAAGAAATTGTTTCACGGATATTTGGCGCCCACTCTAACGAATGCTGATTTATAAACAAACATTATCTTATCAATTCAAAGTTCCTCTTTCGCTGGTTGCTCCTCCATTGTATTTTTGCCTTCACTCTCCCGTCGTGCCTCACTTCCAGCTACCTTTGGGATGAATTCATTCCAAAACTTCATCTTCCGCTCGCGGAAAGAATACTCTAGTCTGGGGTTCAGAGAGATACGTAAATGAACATGTGCTGAGCTGTTGTAACGAGGCCATGTGACAACGGGCGTGATTTCGCCGACATTCGGGTCTCTGAAAAAAAGATCGAAAGAAATAAAATGAAAAAGTAGGCAAAGAAAACAGAGCATGAATAAATTGAATAAATGAACATGAATACAACAGAAGATGAAAAGAATTCATATATAAATATATCTAAAAGAATTGGATGGATGGTTAGTGAATGGATTGATTGATGGATGCATGGATGCATGGATGCATG